CTCATTTCTTGACAGAAATGACTTGATATGTACAGCTTGAGTCGAGTTTAGCAGGAATTCAAGTCTAGTAATTACTTATATTATTATACATCTGTCACCATAACGCTATAAGTTACAGCGTGCCGTAATTTTGCGATATTTTACAGGGTATTTTCATCTACTATATTAGGAAATTCGATTCCAAATATGGAATGATTACGCGCGTAAACTTCCCCTAATAATAAAAACAAAAATGGCTGCCATCGTACTCCACACAAAGAAGTTCGGATTTCGGCATTCCTATAGTGTATCGTTGGAAGGGAAAGATGTATAATAATAAGGTTATTACGAGGATACTTCAAAGTATGCACTCAGACTGTACGCTGCGCGTCGGTCGATAATTCAGCTGTACTGTCTTCGTGCATTACTTTGAGGTATCCTCGTAATAACCTCATATTATCATTGCTTACCGTGTATAAATGTGTCAGGTAACGTAAATGCTGGAGCTGTCGGAATACTGCCATTCAGGTTCTCATTATAAATACTTTCAAAATTAGTTTTCTGATCACCAATACCTAATGACAAATATGATATAGAAAATTGTTTGCAGACATTATACACGAAACAATCTTTGCACCTGATTAATGTGAGATTATATTGGAGTTTATGTGCGTATATGTACCCATGTGTCGTATGATGTAAATTGACAATATGTGAGATTAAAGAAAACAATTGTTTGAAAGATATTTGTTTGAAAAGGCTCTGACAAATTGTATATATATATATAGTTGTTGAAGTACAGAAATATGCGTCTTCGATGTATTTTAGCACTAAAATAAATCAGATCGAAATTGTAATATTTTTAGAAATATTACAAATAATTCATTTCAATCTGAACCTAAATGAAAGGCCTTACTTTCGTTATTCTCTTCCATCCACGTGGCACATAGCTGTATTGCCAAGGAAGCATTCATATGCTGGTGTTCACCTGCTATGCCAAGCTTTATTGGTTTTCCCTGCCAATCATAGGTATCCAAGTTGGGTACAAGCTGAATCGGTGTCTGTTAATAAATTGATGACTCAAATAAACCATGACACTCGCGTTTGTAACGATATTAGTAAACACTATGTATTGAAAGAGCCTCTTAGACACTGGTCCCGGAATAACTGTTTTTATTTTGTGACTAACAAACAATATAGTGAAATTGTAAACTTGTTCTTACGTGTTTTTCATTGGCTCTAGATACCAGGGTGTCCATGGCACATTCTGGTTGAGGGACTGTGAATGCTGGCCGACCAGGCTGAGGATAAATATTTATTCTTAATAAATATTATTTTGCTATACTTTTTTTAATGATGAAGAAACAGAGTAGATTGTGAAAACACAAACAAATATATAAAGAATAATACTTCACAGAAAGTATTGCTCCCGTCATATATTTCCATTATAAAATAATTACACAAAAATGACTCAGTGCTAGTTCAGTTTCCCAAGTCAACTTGGATTTGCAAAACTTAGTTTTTCACCTTGAATATACCGGCTTTATGCCATGCTATTTTATCGAGAGTCTTTCCCAACATGTTTGTATGATCGAAGTCAAGACAAGTGGTTCCAGTCACTGTGGGATATCGTACAACATTGGTAGCGTCATATTCCCCACCAATGCTTACTTCCAGAATGAAAACGTCAACCTTAAAAAAAATGACAAATTCATTTAAATTCACTCTTTACAGGTATATTACAAACAACGAAACACAACACGGAGACGGAGACGGGACTCGTACACTTGACCACGATACATGACTGCGCCACTGTTGCCAGAGATGTATCACGGCACTAAGTAGCATGTAATGGACACAGTCACACAGTAAAGATGCCCGAGTCTGAAGCTGACATCACAAACAGCAAAATGTATTTAATAGGAATTTCTTCATTGTAATATAATACCATATATCAATATTATCCAAAAAAAAATGTAAATTGACCACAACAATATGAATGCAACGCTATACAATGCTTCAAACAAAAGCATCGTGGTAATGTGAAACGACAAAGTTAACTCAAACTAACATATTTTAAATACTAGACAAATTCATATTTTACAATAAAGTTAGATTATGAAAAAAAGTACTTTTTCCTGTATGAATACGTGAAATGCCATTAATACTGGGAACCGCTTGAAACACGGCATAAGTCCTCCAAATGCATCTTTTGTAGAATCTACTTTCTTGTAGACATCATAGAAATATCTACAAAAATCGGCCTTTGTCAGTGGTATATTATTGACACGATATCGTTCACAAATATCCCACAAATGCGGCGAACTAAAAAAAAGAAACATAAATAATCTTACAAGACTTTGTTAAGCTTGAATGGGCAGATACACATGTTTTAAGAAGTGTACAATCACACAATAGATAATAATTATAATAAAACGTATAAGGACTACAATGAACATCCAGTGTTCAGTTGACGGTCATTGAAACTGAATATCAACCGATACTGATCCAACCGAATAAAAAAGAAAGAAAAAAAACATCAGAGTCTGAAGCTTTTAACCTTTTCTAAACACTGCAATTGCGCATATGTAATACAGAAATCGAGATCAGTAAGAGGTATAATATTGTTGTCGACAAACAATATTATAATTAGGTCTTTGATATTTATGATAC